TGGCCTGAACCTACTCTTATCGATTTTAAGACCACCACCCAAAAACAAAACTTCAACAAACAAACAACAATAACAACCCAACAACAACAAACCATTACGTAAGCCAGGTACAAGTTAAAAAATCCCACCTTTCTTTTTTGACTGTTACATTTTACTTTCTTGGCTTAGTACATTTTAGCAACTTGCCGACGATGTGTGTCTGATCAGAAGTAGACCAAAGGCAACGTTGCAGCACATTTGGAACATTCATAGACTGTTCAGAAAACGATTCGAGAAATAGGACTGACAAAAATGCAGAAAAATAGAAGAAATTCAAATTTAAAAATGCATTCTAACCTGGTCTATCGACCATCTGCCTATGATAATCGCCTGTGCAAACAACCTCTTCCCTCCCCCCTGCATTTTTGTTTGTCCGTCCGAATTCTCGTTTTCTGAACAGTGCATGAATGTTCCAAATGTGCCGCATAACGTTGCATAATTTGTGAGGCAGCGTGGTGGAATCAGGCTCTCGTCAAAATGATGAAATCGAAGGAAACAGCAGTTTTCTCCCTGCTTAATAATTTTTACCAAATTTTTGTTTTTCGGCTCAACACCTTGTATGTCCATTTACAAACAAATTCCTTTGAGGATTTCACCGAAAAGCGTTGACTAAAGGCACACAAAAATTTACAGTTTCATTGGACTCACCAGCTTTGGAATTTACCAAGCTTTGGTGGCCATTTTCTTGCTAATTTTACTTCTTGAACCAAGTGACCCCCACCTCCTTCAATCCAAAATATCTCCACTTTTATTGAAGATGGATGGGTTATTTTTTCAATGAAAGCAAGACACATGAACAAGCTTTAAGGTGATACCAATACCTCAATATGCCCAAAAATAAACGAGAGCCTGATTCCACCACGCTGCCTCTCATTTGGTGTGCTCCTGATCGGACACGTTTTCAAGGCATTGACCAAGAGGGCAACCTACTTAAGACAACTACATTTCTTCTTAACAGAAGGTGGGCATCAAGGACAGGATCGACTGTTACTAGCTACTATTGGGCTTACTGACCAGTGGAGGTGACCCAAAGAGGTTCGGAAGGGTTATCGTTGAAGTTGTAGCAGACTCCGTGGTCAGTGAGGACGAGGGTAAAGTTCTCCGGGCCGCACGGCTTGTTCTGCCATTCACACCTGTGGAACAGACTTTGTTCGTTACTTAGTTTATTTGTTTGTTTGTTTGTTTGTTTGTTTATTTATTTATCATGATATTTTTTAAAATAGTGATTGATTAATATAGCACAAGTGTGCGCCCTTCGCTATCTTAGAATTACAAATTTCTATCTGCCCAGTACCTAGTTTTGAAAAATTTGATGAAAAAAATGTTGAGTTTCACACGATGTTAAGTTAAAATAAATGCAATTCTTTGAATATCTTGATGACGACTTCGAATAATCTTATGATTTTCATAGAGCATAGAACATATATGGTTTGTAGTTCTCACCTTATCGTTTTAGTAACTCAAAACGGCCAGAAATATCAGATAGAACTTTAAAATTCTAAGGTAGCGACTTGTTTAACTGCACCTTGAAAGAGTTATTTCGCCCCCTTAAACGGGAGACTGTCAAAGAGCATTAAACGATTTTATATGGATTTAATTTTTCATCAAGACGATGCCTAATATTATTCTCTCAACTAGAGACAAAACAGTGAATTAGAAAAATAATAACCCTGAAAGCGTACATAACATGGTCAATCTTTTTTTTTTATAGATGATAGATCTGGAGTCTAACTAAAGACACAGAGAGAAGATTGGATGCCGTTGAAATGTGGTATTTAGGTCGAATACTCGATCAGAATCTCATGAACAGAGTTGAAAACAAATAGAAAAGTGCTCCAAATGGCAGGAGGCGAAAGATTCATAACCAGCGACATCAGAAAAAGACAATTGAGATTCATTGACCACGTAGATAGATCAAATGGAGAAGAGAAACTGTTACTCTATGGAAAGAGAGGGAAAGAAGAGCAGAGTAAGACAAAGAACAGCATACAAGAATGATCAAGAAGACAGACAACATGAAGAAATAGGGTACCATGATCGTCAATGTCTGCTCCAGGCCTGACAGCAGAAGAAGAAGAAAAAGTATTGATTTACGAACTGACCCCTTGTCCAGTTCCCACAGTGTAAAGACCAGCACACGGGCACAATATCAGACATTTAGTGCTTGGGAAAAGCAGGAAAGACAGACAGGAACAACCGAGGGACAGAAAAGAAATAAGACCTACCGGAACAGTGGCGCCCTCTAACAACAAGGCACCAACAAGAAGGGGTTTATAAATGTCGTTGGTACGGAAAAAATACTCTCGTGAACTTAGTTTGAAGACCTCGCTCTTTTAGGCTCAGAAACGTAAATGCAGTGTACCTTACTAGTTTCACTTTCACAAAACCGATCTCTCTTTCTCTCTCTCTCTCTTCGTTCTCTCTCTCTCTTTCTCTCTCTCTCTCTCTCTCTCT